TTATGATGAAGAACAGTCCCTCTGCATCATAAGCCTCATAATCTGGACAAGGCTCCAGCTATGCCTACCAGACCCCACTCTGACCTGACACAAGAGGGGTCGTCGGTGGTTTTTAGAGGCCTTATTCTTGCTACTGAAGTATGGTCTGAGGTCCTCACCCATACCAAATGTCAGAATCTGCCTTGAATCAGGACCCCAAGGGGACCCTGTGTACATTAAAGCTGGGAAAACTGCTTGATACAGTACCATCCAGGGTCAGCTACCCAGGAGCGACCCAGAGGGGAAGCAGCTGGCTAAAGACTGTTGGCTCAACTCCTACCTAACAGTCTTGCCTTTTTTTTCAGAGCCTCTTGCCTTAAAACATAATTAGTAGCAGGAGTACCACACTTTCTGGGCAGTTATTCTGTGGCATTCCATTCGGGTTAGTTCAGGAGGCTTAACTTATAACTCTTGGTTTATAGAAAGGAGGGAAATTATTTTACTTTAGCTTATGCTTGGGATGTTTTCATTTTAACAAAAAGCTGGCTATGGAAAGGTCTGGATGGTAGTTTTTCCTGAGTAAAGATTGGAGGGAAAGGGTTTTTTTCAGTTTGGGGTCTCTGTTGACAAGTAGTGTGGCTGCTTCATTTAGGGGAATTTTTCATGTGAATAGCACAGACATCAGTGTCATATGGTTTAGAGGATGTAAGATTGGTGCCAGGTGACTGCGGTGGGTCTGAACTCATGTGGCCTCTGGTTCTCACTCTATAGCTCCAGCTTGCTCAGCTGACCACATCCCAGACCCTGAATGACCCTTGTTACAGTATGCCTTTGTGTACCAGATGCAATATTGCTTTTAGATTTTGTGTGTGGGGAAGGAGACTTGGGTTTAAACTCAGGTCCTCGAACTTGCTAAGCAGGCGCTCTCCCACTTGAGCGCCCTGCAAAATTACTTTTCTTTCTGACGAGGTGTCCCTCCTTGTTGTCTCTGATTTCTCAAGAGTTCATTTTTTAACCTGTTTCAGTTACTGTCTTCAAGGACTGTCTGGGGATCTTTGGCTCCTTGTATGTACCTGAGTGTTATGTGCTGAAAACTGATGAAAGGCATGAGGAGGACAGGCTGTGCTATGGCATTATTGTTAAGAATCCACCATTTCTTGGGGGAGGGGGGTGTCTCTCTTTTCTTTCTTAGTTTCCTGAGAGTGGAATCTTCCAATCTCTTTCTGCCTTGGTGTACATCTTGGCTGTTTGTGTTCTCACAGTTGAGTAGAGGGTAGAGGGAATGCATGTATCTGGGACCCACCAGTTGGTGCATAGTTTTTGTTCTAGTTTTTCAGTTTAGCTCTTGAATCTTCATGATCTTAGAAATTAACCCTTCCAGAGAATAACCTTGGGAATGCTCCTGCTTGGGAAGAGACTTGGGGTGTCTGTTCTTTAAATAGACTTTCAACCCATTCTGCTGTTTGGGGCCTCACCCGGCCCTTGTCCTCAGAGTGGTCTGGTGGTGGCTCTGAGGTCTGTGGCCTAGATTGACATACATCATACCTCTCAGTGCTCACCTTTCTGCTCTGCTCAGTCTTCTCCTTGGCAGTCTGTTCTTTCAGAAGTCTGGTTCTTGCCTGTGTTGTCTTTCTCCTTTGGTTTCTTTGTAATCCCCTTACTGCTGCTTTAATGACATTTCAGAAGGGAGTGGAAGCGAATGAGTGTTCATCTGCTCTGCTTAATAGAAAGTGCACACAAATTCTCTAATGAGCAGTTGGGAGGATAAAACCTCTATGGCTATAAATTTATCTTGTTTTACAGCATTTGGGGTTCAGCTGTTCATGAAAAGTAATTTAAATAAAAGGGTCATGCTGGAGAGCAGTTGTTTATATTCTCATAATATTTCAACTAGTAAAAGGGGAGATCAGAGACAAGAAAGATGAATAAAAGACTTGCTGTCTGCACATCTGAGGTCTGTGGATGGCTGGGTGGTGGAAGGTTCCAGTGGAAGGTTCCGGTGGAATGACCTTTTCTAGAATTGTATGTTGAGTCTAGATCTCATAGTGTTACAAGTGTCAAGTGTTGGTTCAGTGCATGGGCTTCAAAATTGTACAGACCAGGGTTTGAATTCCTTCCTGCTGTGCCATGTAGGGTTCTTGAGCAAACAGTTGAAAGAATGCATTTGAACCCCTAAAAAGGGGGATATTAGGAATGAATGAATTAATCATACAAGTGTACAGCCTAGAGTGACCACTGAGTTACATGTTTTATTCACTGTGGTGCATTCTAGGTCTCCTTTTGTATGTGGCATTATTATTTACTATGTGTGGGAACCACATTGCCTGGTCTTTGCCACCATAACTTGTCCCTTGTTGGAGAAGACTCACTTGCTCATCTTTTAGCTCTGGGACATACTAAGGCCTGGATTAGGGGGAGAGGAGGTAGGAGGAGCATCATAATTGACCCTAGGTCTGTGCAACTCCTGAGTCTGTCTTAACATCTTCACTCCACAGTATATTTCTTATTGTTAATGCTTGTCTCCCGGTAGATCCATTACAGACAATTAGATGGATGGCTCTAAATGTCTTCTGAAGACCCTGGGTGACCTTGGGTTCCATGTTCCAACCATTTGTAATTGCCATCATATAGTCATGTGAAATAGTCCACATTTTAAGAAAATACCACTAGAGGTTTTTTTGGAGGGGAGTGGTGGTGGTACTGGGATTTGAACTCAACTTCATGCTTGCTAGGCAGGTGGTCTACTGCTTGAGCCATCCCTTCAGCCCTAGAGAATATTTTTGAAGGACATATTGGACAGGTGTTTTGGAGCTTGGAAACAGATCTCTGGATTTGCTGTTACCATATCCTGAAGAGTTAAGGTGAGCAGTAAAGATGTCTCTTGAGCAGTGGGTATGGCTGCTGGTCATGGCAGATACATATCATCAGACAATAGTAATAAAGTGCTTTACTTTAAATGGAAGAGATAGATGAAGGAAGAGAAGATGCCAATGTTCCATTTTATCTTAGAGAGTTGGTGGGCAACCTAAAGAGAACATAGGTTCTCAAATTTGTCCTGATTCTGTTTCTGTCTGCCCTGCTCTGGCCTCTTCCACTACAAATGTTCTAGCCCTTCCCCCATTCTTTCCTCCATGCATATTTATATGTGGGTATACACATGTGTTAGATAAAATCTGGATATTGTTGTATAGCCTATTCCCCTACTTAGACTGTGAATGTTTTTCCCCCTCCCCCTGTAACTATTCCATTAACCTTTAACAGTATTCCCTTCTGACTGGGTTAAATAAATTATGAAGAGAGCCATGTGCTTAAATACTGCATTAGTCATTTAAAAGTCATGGCTTCTAAAGTTTGGGACTGCATTCTTTGTAAAGAAGGTTCTTTGATAACTTAACCTATTTTAAGATGCAGAACATTATCACTGGCTGGGAATTGGATTATCTTTCTACTAGTGTACATGCTTTTGCAATAAGCCTTTAGATGGCAGCATCTCTCACCGTAAGCCATATTTTGAACAGAATTTCTCAAATGTGTAAGATGTCTGAGGATGCGAGTCCACCTGCATCACCCCTTCACTGTGAGGATGGAGCTGAGGCCCCAGGATGGTCAGGGCAGTGACTCAGGCTGTACAGGGAGCAAGAGTTGTAGATCTGCAGGAACTCTTTCTGCCTCCTCCTCTTACTGATGCAAATTGTTTCTCTCTCTTCAGCCTTGTTAAAACTCTAACAAGGTCAAGTGCATGTTTCTGGATCACAATGGAATGTGATATTTGGAAGAAGCAGACCAGAATAGTCGTTTTGTTTTAAGTGGTTCTATTTAGATATAATTTATGTACCATACTATTCACCTGTTTAAAGTATTCAGCTCAGGAGGATACTTAGTATACTTTGTATACAAAGGATTGCTACCAATGTTACAGTTTTAGAACATTTTGTTACTCCCCAAAGAATGTCTTTAGTCATTGCCCCACAAACCTGCATGTCCTCATCCCTAGCAACCACTTTGTTTCTGTAGGTATGTCTATTCTGGATGCTACATAATGAATGGAATCATATAGTATGTGGTCTTTTGTGACTGACTTCTTTTAGTTAGCATGGTGTTTTCAAGTTTAATTCATGCCGTAGCATGAATTGATGTTTCATTTCTTTTTATTTCCCAGTAATGTTCCAGTGTGTGGCTATACCATGTCTTGCTTTCATTGGTTGATAGAACTTTGGTTATTATGATAACGCTACCGTGAACATATGTGTACAAGTTTGTATGAAGATATATTCACATAGGAGTGGAATTGATGGGTCATATGAAAACTCTGTTGTGAGCAGCTGCTAAACTGTTTTCCAACATGGCTGTACCTTTGTCCCGTCTGAGGATCAGCGAATGAGGGCTCCATCCAGTTTCATTAAGAATTCCAGATTTTCTGATAGGTTGGGGTTGGGAAAGTAGATAAGGCTCTCGCAATGCCAGACTGGCTGCCGCACCCATTTGAAGGCAGCTGCTTTGGCTGCCAAGAAAGCAGTGAGCCCGTGCAATTATCATATATCACCAGCCTGATAAGATGCCTGTGTTCAATGGCTGCTCAGTGTGTGGATACTATAGGCCAGCTGTTTGTAATCCTTGCCTCCTGACTTTGGAGATACCAAGCAACCAAACCATCTTTATCCCAGGTAGAGGAAAATTGTGTTAAAAAAACAAAACAACCCTTTACCACAAGCTGACCAGGTTTGAACATGTCATAGTCATCTATTTGACACACAGAAAACAGCTGTGGAGACTTCACAGCAGAAGAGCAGCTTTTGTTTCTGTCAGTTTACATTCTTCAAACTGAGCTTACCCTTCTCTGCTTTCACAGCAAGGACTGCACATTCTGTGTCTTACTCTGAACTGACTGTGTTCAAGGGAGGGAAAGGGTCTGGCTCATCCTTTAAGCATATTTGCCTCCTGGTAAGGACACATGCTCTATATTCTGAAGCTTTGTTTGCATCTGGAAAAAATTAGCCACACTCAGATCTTTCCTACTGCAGGTCCCGTCAGGAAGCCCAAGTATGTGGAAAGCCCCCGGGTGCCTGGAGATGCAGTTATAGTCCCATTCAGAGACGTGCCCAAGCCCACAGAGCCCAGTGAGAATGGTAAGAATGTCTTCAGTGATTTCCCCCTTCTCCCCAAAAGACTGTACCTAATAGCACTCTCCGTGGCTGTGTGAAACTTGAGTGCCCCTTGCTGGAATGCTGTACTGAATTGAATGGATTTGGGAGGTTTTGTCCCTGGGGCAGTTTACAGAGACCTGTTTAGCTAATGTGAATTCTCGGAATAACATAGACTGAGTTCGGAACACTCGAGTGGGTGTGTATGCATTGTTTAAGGGCTGGGTCTTATTTCCTGTGAATTCTGACCTACCTGAGCTTGGAGGACAGGAGAAGTCAGCCTGTGCACTACAAGATATTGTTTTGTTTTTAACGCTTTACCATTTCAGATTATTCCACAATGGGCTTTGGCTGAAAAGCTGAAACTTTAAATAGACAAAGCTTATAATTAGCTTTTTATCAGAGCATTTGGTAACTTTTGAAAGCCCTTTTAATAAACATCTAGTTTTTCATAGGGGGCTTGAAGTAGGAACCCCCAAAAAATCCAAATTGAAGGCTTTTCATAGACACTATATATATATTTTGTTTTGTTTATAGTCTAAATCCTATAATAAGTATAACAGACACTGTATGCTTGTAGCATTAAGTAGATGCATTAACAGTTTTTTTATTTTTAGAAAAATCAATTCAAGAATTTACTTGATTGTTCTTTTCTTGGAGGGGGTACCCTACTCACAACTCTGTTGCTTCTAACTTGGGTATTTTGAACTTGTACACTGTTTTCTTGTAGAAAGGAAGTTAAAACTCTTGGCTTATATATTGAAGTTCAATTTGCCCTCAGTGTGGACACATTTATTTAGTAATACTGAAAGATTGCTTAGGGAAGAAAATATATCTGTGTTTCCACTTTGGAATACTGGGTGCCCTCCTTTTTCTCACTGGCGGGGCGCAGGGGAAAGAACACCTGTATGTTGTAACTATTGTGTGTGCATAAGTAGGACATGGTAGGAAAGTGGAATGGATTGGTGGTGAAAATACAGCAAAAAATGATGTGGGCAATGGCAGAAGCAGAGCTCAGGACATTTGGGGTAGTGGAGGAGGAGATGGTATGGGGCATGCAACACAGGCAAGACGTGCTGTTGCAAGTGTCCTGACACGAGAAAATCCACCTTTGTCCTTTTTGGTGAGGCACCCAGTTGTGTGGTTGAAGAGGTGTGTACTGAGGATTTGGGCTGAGTGGAGCAAGACATTGGGGAAGGAGTGGTGAAGATAGAGAATCCATCATGGTGTCTGATTAGAACAGCTGTCAGCTGATACAGGAGGTCTCTGTTGGTTGTGAATTCACATATGCAGGTGACCTTTCCCATTCTGTAGGCTGAGGAAAACAAAAATCAATTCCTTTGAAGTTTCAGTCATAGAATTTACAAAGCTGTCTGTCCAGTTCAGATTAAGCCTGCCACCTACTTACCCTCACTCACCAAAGACTTTGTAGTCTTAGCTGTATTTTGGTATTTTGACTGGACTAAACACCACTGAGGGAGGATTAGTGGGGTTCTGCGTAGGGTTCTCCTGATGTGAGAGTGGGAAAAAGATTTAGAATTTTTACTGGGCTAAGAAAGGAGGTTATAAATAGTTCCCATTGTCAACATTTCTGCTCTTGCCTGAGGCAGAATTGGCCATCTTTCTTGGCAAGAAGAGGTGTGCTTGTCTCTGGCTGTGGGCCGAGCTAAATTCAAGAGCAGCCATCGGTCCTGCTGGAGTGGCCAAATTTTGCACATGTTTTCACTCACTCCTGAGCTCTCTGATTCGGCTTCATCAGGCTCCATGGGGACCAAAATTATGACATACACAGGCTGCAAAAACAGGATCGGAAGTTTCCAACTCAGCTAAAATTAAGAAACAGGGTATGTTTTCACTTTTTTAAGGTATGAGACTCGGTTTGGTTCATGTTTGTAGGCACCTGGTCACCTGTAGAGATAGCCACAGTGTAGTACAAGACGCAGCAGAGTTATTCTGTTGGTTGATGAAGAGGTAGTTGCCCAACAAAATTGAACCTGACAATTAGCAATGGGTGATATGTTATGTAATCCTCATGGAATCTTTTAAATTTCAATGGAGTTAATTAAAACTGTCATACTAAAGTGTAAGTTTTATATCCAGGTCATTGAACCTAAAGGAGAGATTTGAGCTAACCAAAACTAAGTTTGAGTAAAAAACCATGCATGTACAGGCACATAATGGGAAAACTCTAATTCCTGGGTTTTGATACCAAAATTGTCACTTAAGTTTCACTTTAAAATGTGATCTTCTCCCCATACTTCCTTTGGGATTTTTACGTATATCTCTGTGACCACCTTTGGGTGCTGTCAATAATAGCATGTCAGTGTTCACTAGACTAAGAGTCTATTCAAGCAACTCCTTGTCAGATGCCTTTGAAATTTCATGTAGACTCATGAAATATCAAGTTATTCCTAAATGTTTGCAATACTCTTTTCAGGTTATGCTGCCTCACTTTTGGTTTGGCGGTTGTGAAGCTCCATCAATTCCTAATTCTTAGCTCTTGATTTGAAATTTAAACCAAGTAACAGAAAAACAGTGAGCATGTACAATTTGTAAGTAATTTTATTGGTGTGTATTTTAGCCATTTGGGAATTAGATTCAATCAGATGAATCTTTTTTCTTTAATAAGTAAAGAACCTTTTATTAAAGATTGTATTCACTTTAGGAAGAGGCATTCTACCTTATCAGTACTTTAAAATATATTTTTTTAAATTTTATTTTATTCATATGTGCTAAAATATTTTTGAAACATAGCATTTTCTAGTTTGAAAGAAAAGATTAGTGCATATTCTTTCTTTAAAATAGTTCTAATAAGTGGTATGTCACATAGAATAGGTTCTTTATAAATAAGCTTCCTGTTACTCACCCAGTATATTTCCCCTAAACAATACTACTGCCTTATGGGGGAAGAAAACCCAAACAAATTAGAGAGTGTTATTAAATTATAATAGGACTTACAGATTTATTTCTTTGAATTAGGGACAACCATAGTTCACTTAGGTTTCCTTTAATATATCATTAATAACTTGAGCAAGCTCAGATAGGGAGGGGTGAGAAAGTTTTTAGTCTCATGAGTCATTGCTCAGTGAAGATCAATCTCCAAATATGATGAAACTTTTTTTCTGGCAGTCTGATTAGCAAATAAAACTAACATATGTGAAAGTACAGAATAATTAAGTGTAGAACTATCTTATTGGGAATTTAGATAAGTATTTTATCGATGCTTATGTCTTTGATTACTATTTCAGATATTCAAAAAGATGTAGAGAATTGAGGAGGTATCAAGAATAATGGTACCTGTCTACCGCCTACCTAGTTTTAGAAACAAAACTTAACTGTGCATTTCCCTGGATCATAGTCTCCTTCCTTTCCCAAGACATAGCCTCCATCTTTATCTTTAATTTTCAGTTTCTTAGAATGATGATACATAATTCAACTAATGATAGAATAAAATTTAGTTAGATGAAAATATTGAAGAGGGTACGCCTTGTATATGTCCAGTGAAAGAGAGACTAGAATTAGAGGATCTATTCATTCTGTGTTTCCTTCAGTAAATATTAAGTTCTTAAGCTGTGAAAAGCAGTATGCTAGACATTATTGAGATGAGTTGTCAAGCATAGGTCTTTTCTTCACTGAGCCTTAGTGTCTGGTAGGAGATTAAAGACCTGCGTACAGAGTGACTATAATGCAAAGGAGAAGTAATGTGGACTAATCCAAGCTGTGTGATGAATTGGCAGCTTAGCAGATGAAGATTCGGAGCATGAGGGAGACTTAACTGGTGCTATGACTTAAAATTTACCTGTTGTCCTAGTCCATTGAGGCTGCTGTAACAAAAATATCACAAACAAATTACTTTGTCACATTTTCTGAGGCTGGAAAGTAAAAATCAAGGTACCTGCAGATTTCATGTGAGGCCTGGCTTCCTGGTTTATAGATAGCCATATTTTCCCTATAACTGCACATGGTGGAAAGGGACCACAAGCTCTTCCATTTTAAAGGACATGAACCCCAAATAAGAGTGGCCCTCTTATAATCTAATTGCCTCCCAAATGCTCTACATCTAATGCCAATACTTTAGGGGTTAGGATTTATGTGTTTTATTTTATTTTTTTGGTGAGACTGGGGTTTAAACTTAGGATTTAGAGTTTGCAAAGCAGGCATTCTACCACTTGAGCCACAACTCCAGTCTGGGGGGTTAGGATTTTAGCATATAAATTTGGGGGAGGGTGAACACCCAAACATTTAAATCATAACATCTAGCAAGAGAGTAGATGGAGGGTGCAGAAAAGGACTAAGATCAGGGAGAATGATAAGAAATTGAGATCAGTAGTTAAGTGAGATAATAAAGTATCAAATGAGACCAGGATCAGGAAAGAAGAGATGATAAATGAGGAAATTATTGAGGATGTAAGGGCCTGGGACCCATAAGAGACAAAGATGACTACTTGAGTCTGTGAAGACACTGGAGTACGACACTGGAGGAGAGGGGCCCAAGCATTTGGTTTGAGTTGTTTCAGTCACTGCCTTCAGGTGCTGGTGGAACATCTAAGGGAGAAGTGCTCAACAAACAATTGGGCCTTAAGGAAAAGCTCAGCATGTAGACTGGGCAGTCAGTTTTGCTTGGAGGTAAGATGACAGTGAAAGTTAGACTAGGGAAAAGATGCAGTCTTTTTTGAGAGAAGAAGACTGAGAACTGTTGGTGTTTTATTTATGAGCTGTGAATAAGAGACAGAAAAAGTGCCAGTAAGAGGGATGGGAGATGAAACCCACAAAACCACTTTGGTTTTCCTCTGTGTGTCTCTTAGGACAATTGCTACCTTCCCCCTTGCAGGACAGAGTTTGCAAGGTCAGGCATCTCTAGAAAAACCAAAAGAGGAGATATGCTGTTAAAAAAAGAAAAATGAGTGTGTTTAGTGGGGCTGTCTCAGGAAAGCTATGAGGGTAAAGGAGTTGAAGTCTTAGGTAAGTGATGAGGAAATGAACTG